TTTTCACCGCAGTAGAGTTGAATCCGTGTTCGTTCGTCACCGATTCAAAAAGTGATCTTTGTGTTATTCATTGGATAGCCGTATTTGTGTTTAATTGCATTATATTTATTCTAAACTCGGACGAAATGATATACAAGCTCGCGCCCGTACGTAATTGCATGTGTAAAATAAATTAGACGAACGACCATTTGAAATGAAAGCTTTTTTTTTTTATTTTTTCACTCTGACGATCACGCAGAACCGCCTGTCGATTCCGTCAACGAAACGATATCTCTTACGAATTTACGGTAATTTCTTATGAACCTTTCATATTGAACCTTTCGAATAGTATGAGCATATATGTGTACCTATACGATTCTATCTAGGTTTATGGATGAATTACTTTGGTAAAAACATTCCTATAAAAGTTTATTCTCTACCATTTTATTTCATACATTTTATATCCATATGTTGCATTTTCTCTCTCGATGTATAAGTATTATTATTATTGTCGTTTTGTATTCTCTACAATTTCATATTTTTTTGATAAGTATTCATTAAATTGCGAGTTCGTGATGGGCGAGAGCTAGGGAAGGATGTGAAATATAAATGTTTAAATTATGAATATAAAATACAAAATAAATATATTCTGTGTAAAGCAGATTTCTAGAAAATCCCGTTATATTTATTATATTTCATATATATATTTATTTACGTCAAATCGTTTTTTCTTTTATATTTGACACATATTTTAGATCCTTCTTTAGTATTTTTTTTTTATGAATACAACAAATTCGAAGTCGTTCGTTTCGATTATCTAATTTTCGATCCAATTAATTTTTTACTCATAAAGATGCATATTTATAATAAAAATTAATCTGTGTTCGGATTAAAAGAAAAATATAGATGCATACATCTTTTATTGTTTTTTTTTTTTTCTATTTTTTTTTGTTACCGTCGAACTATGTAGCATGCAACAAGTTTTCTTCAAATAAAATAATAAATCGATTTGTCGTTTCGTGGTTTGCTCTTTCACACTTTACTGAAAAATTGAAAAAACTATATATGAATGTACCTATATATAAATAAAACTTGTATACCATATGGATTTTTGTCAGCATTCGGAAAATTTGTTGCATCTAATGGTTTTCGCGTACGCAGTCTCACTTCTGTTTATTTTTTCTTTACCTTCATTTAGTTCGTTTATTTCGAAAAATATGACATTTTATTCGGACATATGTAAGTACATATGAAAGTACATATGAAAGTACATATGAACGTATCGTACATATACATCGCATCACTCTTTTGAATTAGAGCTTATTTCCTCAAACGTGGAACACGAATACCTTCGTCACTTCGAACCGGCACGTTTTGTTGCTTTCCTCGAGCACGATGTATCGTAAAAGTCTGTCTCGTTTTTCGAAGTACGTGCGCTTTGAGTGTGACCCTTATGCCAAGATCTATCGAATATATTGAACTTCCAATAAAACGCTATTTTGTAATTCTCCTTGTATGTAGTTTTAATCAGCCAATCTCTATACTTTTTTATTTTTTTCGTTCTTTCGTTCCAATTGAATAAAATTGATCAATGAGATAGACATAGGATATCCGCTAAATGATTTATTCATTTAATATACGTGCCTGTGTGTGTACAACGATTTTATTTTATGTAAATATCTTATAACATGCACGTATATTAATTAAATTGTAATTTATTTATGGAGTGTTATCTTTTCATTAATTTGAATTGAACCGAAATTATATTTGAATGAAGATTATAATATAGCAAATAATAAGAGATCTTGTTACATTGATCAATTTCGGAGAAAATGATATTATTCAGCTATAGAAATAATATATTAGTTAAAAACCAAACTTATCTTTCATTGAATTACATTGAATAAGCTAAATTTAAAAGAAAAAAATCAGCTTGATTTCTTATTCGAAGCTGACAATACGATAAAATGAACGTTACTACATCTGATTTTAGTCGTTATCAGAAGGAATCATTTTCGTGAGATTAAAGTACGGAGAACACAGTAGTCTCAGCAGCTAGTCTTGACTGTGGAGTTAACGGTGGAATATGTAATTAATTAGAGCGCTGCTCAATAGAATTCAAAAGTTCTCGAGGAAACAATTTCATCAAAATTAAAGCCACCCTTCTTGCTACGGGTCAGCTCAACCGGGTCTACATGGCATTTGCGTTTAATTAAAGTATCACTCGGTCATTTATTCGAGTATCTTTTTGATTTGGAATAAGTTCGAACAAGTTAAGTGTGAATTTGTGACTCTTCCCTGCGAACTTTGCTCTTTAATTTAATTTTATCTCATGCATACTCATGATACTTTTCAAGTTGAATAGCTTAACAAAAAATAATTCGCTTATTTGAAAAAAACGTTGGTTAAATCAAAGTTTAATCGAAGAAGTGAACAAATAATAAATAGAGAAACAAGATTTTTAATTGGAATATTTTGATTTAAGATACGTAGTTAATAAATTAATCTACATTTATTAATTAGGTCACTACGTTTACTCAAGTTAAATTACAGGTTTATTAGCTTTTAGTTTCGTTCGTTCGTTCGTTCGTTCCTTTTTCTTTTCGTAATATTTTTATTGCTCGCGAATGTATGTACAGAGCGAAAATTTATTTCCATTTTCGATATCATAAAAATCTGATCATATTTTAATAAAAAAATTAATAAAACTTGAACGCATAATGAATAAAGCTTGCTACTCTTACGCAATAAACTCAATGAATTCTACTAGAAAATGATACGATTACGTAAAACGTAGAATTAAGCTTACTTACTCGTTAAGGTGTTTAATGAAGAGGGATATTTCGTAACATAGTTTAAATTGCGTTCTTTATGAATACAATTTTCGATTTATTTAACGCTGCAGATACTCGTGTTTATTTTCAGATTATAGTGGCATCAGCAACGATACTTGAACAATCAAATGAAAAAAATATTTTGCCGATACAAAATGCCAATAAAAATCAATCAAAGTTAACAATTTATAAAATTCATTTTAGAGCAAACTATGACAGCCGACAAATCGACATGAATTTATTGATCATTTCAACATCGAAATCTATTACAAATCAAATATTGATACACTATAAAATATCCGCAATCATCTGGTCAAAGATACAATCGAATAAGTATGATTAATGAATAATGATGAACAACGAACCTTCTCAACTGTATCAATTCATTTGAATGCAACAATTGTCCAACCATTCTAATTAAATAAATGCCGAATTAATTATTTTTTCTCTTTAAATTCAAGTAAGTTTATTTTCGCATCATAGTTTTCGTTTTGAACGTTTTTAAATGTTAATCGGTTTAAAGCCGTAGATTAATTTCTTTGCACCCTCGTAGATAGAATTACAATGGAGAACCGGCTATTTGCTTGCTCGTAGGAAGATAAAGGGGTCTTGTAAACGTCAGCGTTTCACTTCTATCCAATTATTTTCATAGCGTCACACGTATGGTTTATGCCTGTAATATCCGTGCATGCATGTAAATATGTACATACATATATGCATGCATACATAGATATGTTCGTACAGGAGGACGTTGACCTTTCGAAATCCGAATCTTCTCTTCGATCGGGTTAAACGAAGAGAATAAAAAAGAAGGAGAGAAAGAAAGATGGAGAGAAAGCTGGAGAGAAAGCTGGAGAGAAAGCTGGAGAGAAAGCTGGAGAGAAAGCTGGCGGGAATAGTGGTGATGGTCCAATTAAGCGTTTTTTCTCCTTTCCGTTGCCACGGCAATCGGTCCGGTTCGAAACAAAAATGAAACCAACAAGGAGTCGTTATTGGAAATTCGTAGAAACGTGATCAAGCAGCGAGAGGACTTCCTTTCGCGCGTGTTTCATGCTTTTCCTCTTAATTATTTCGCACGTGGGATGATCTGGTTGAACATACTTTCCGACACATGCACCCGGAAACTGCGAAAGAGCATGCATACGAGTCTTCAATAAATACATACACATATACGTAAGGAAATTCATTAAAAGTCACTTGGATAAAGTATACACATTTTATTTTTATAGTAATCGATATATTATTTTTTATTTCTTATTAGATCGAAAACTTTGGGAGTAAACCGTATACGGATGTGTATGCATGTGTTAATTATTCCGAAAAATTTGAAAAAGGTACGTGTTTGTGTTAGGGCGCGACGATTCAAAAAAGCAATGTTGCATTCTCGATGAAAAAAATTACCTTTTTTCTCCCTCTTCTTTCTCCCTTTCTCTTTGTTTCTTCGTCAAGGATTCTGCAAAAGGAAAGAGGGGAAACGTATGGCAACGGGAACTTTGAAAATCAATTGGATTCGCGAGCAATATAAGCGGAAATTCAGAAAGTCAACCACCTACGTTTCAAATACTCGACTTCATCTTCTAGTTTCCTTCTGTTACCCCCGACGGGCACGAATCTCTTATGACTTACGGACTTTGTTTTACTTTGTAATAAAGTTTATCGAGTGAAAATGCGAAGGAAAGAATTTATACGATTGGTTCATCTACATATTATCTGCTACAAAGGAAAAACTTAATAACAATTGTAGATATTTTCTATATATGTACGCTGCATAGACTTTAACCCCTACGTGAAAGAATAAGTTTATATAAATTGAAATAAAAATAATACTTACTTTTACAAGAGGTCCGCTGAAAAGTAGGAAATTCAAATGTTCGACATTATCATATCTACTGTAAAAGTAAGAAAATTCTTTTATTTCTTATTCTTACAGAAAGAACGCGAATACAAAATTCTATAGGAAACAATTATTCGATAGTTATCGATAGTTATATTAGAGACAAAGTGGTCATATTATATAATATCTTACTTGTATAGTACATTTATTGATGTCGTGTAAAATATTATATTAATTAATCGATATGTTATATAATAATATTCTATTAGCTTAATCCTTTTTTTTTTTTTTTTTTTTTTTTTTTTCTTTTTTACAAAAGTTTGAACTTTGACAAGTAGTTTTAATTTCTCGGAGAGAACTTTCATAGATAACACGACTTGGAAACTGTAATAAACTTACTCTATCACCAATCACGAAGTATAGTGGCACGTTTCTAGTTTCTTCTTCTTACGTAAAATAAAATTCGTCGTTGCCCCGTTCGAAATCAGGATCGATCTCTTTCGTGGAGGACTTTTCAATTTCTTCGTTCGGCTCGTCGAATTCGAAAGTCCGTTCGAATAGGAAGATGCTTTCATTACTTTAGCATGCACTGGACCGAATCTTTTAGCCAACTCTTCTTCAACATCGGCTTTAGGTTTCGCAAAATGATATCGATAGATCAGTTTTCCTCTATAGAATCGTTGAAAGTTAAAGGACGAACGAACCAACGCAGCTTCGATATTCGATTTACTAGAACTAAAATATTTGTTGAATTCTCGGAGAGAATATTTTGTAAGAAAATGCAAACATCAGTTTGGGGAAATGTAAATCGCGTAGTACAATTTGGTGGTCTGTGTGCATATATTTATCTTTGCATCATTATAATGAAGATATCGACTAAAGAGGGGGAAGTATTGTCAAATGTTCAAGAATTAAATGCCACGTTAAATTGGACAATACTTTCCTCCAGCCCGATGCCTTTCACCTTTTAATCTGCATAATTGTTAGTTACATTATTCCTATCGACTTATCTTGACTCGCTTAGCTTATCTATTCTCTATAATAATAACGTTAATATTATTTTTGAGTCTATCGTTATTTTCTATCTACTCGTGTAGTCTATTATCTTGTCTTTACACGATTACGAGCTGGTATGGTAAATTTGATCCCCTTTTCGTACTTCTTGATATTGCAAAAAAAGGCGATCAAGACAAGAGAGGAAGCGTAGAACTAGTTGTTGAACCTCTTTATATTATTTTTTATTGGAGGGTTTTCTTTTGACTGTACCAGTCGGGATTCCATTGGAATCTTCACCACTTGTAGACGATTTCTCGCAGTCCTTTTTCTGAAGCGTAGGTATGGAAGATTTGCTATCGTGTACGTAAGTCACGTTCGCGATTTTACCAGTTACTGCTTCGACTCTTTGCACAATTTCCGTCTTCTCCACATGCGTTTGCGTTAACGATTTATCCGTAACGATAGGTAAGTCCTCTTTTCGTCTGGAAAATGACGGTATTCTCGTTACTTTCGGCTTTTCTCTCAAAGGAGGTCTTTCGAGAGTAGGTCTGTTCTCTTTACGTTCTAAGATCTTATCCCTCTCGACGTTTTGACTATTTTGTCGTTCCACCAATGGTATTGCTGAGATTTTCGGTATGTTCCTTTGATCTCGGCTCTTTTGAAAACTAGTCGTAGGTTTGATAATGATTTTCGGTTGTTTCAAATTGCCCAAGTTAGTATTCTTTGGATCAGCAGCAGTTATTATGATACGTGGTTCTTTTCTTTCTTCTTTGGAGCTGGTTAAGTTGCTAACACTGCTCGATCCTGCACTGGATTCTACCTCGAATCGTTCGGATGAACCCGAAGAACAAGTATTTCCCATATTCGTTATTGTCTGGCAGAGATCTTGATTGTCCTGTCCTGGAAGATTAACCACTCTCAGGATCTTTGGCTCGCCTGTCCTATCCCAATTTGCGTTAGGATCGATCAATCGATGCTGTCTCTCCGGTTCTCTAGGAGCAATCACGATCCGTGGTTCCGAGGACGCCAATGACATTACCGGCACTACCTTGCCATCCCTCGCTACGGGCTTGTACCAATTAGGGTTGCCCATTCCTGCTTCGACGAAGTCTCTTCTAGGATCTCCAATATCTTTGTCCAGTGTCTGAGATGTTGGCGAAAACGTGTAGGATCCACCATGTACGGGACACCTTGGATTCTTGTAAATGGTATCAACGCTCCCGCCACCGGGATGAACGCTATTCATCATAATGTTTCCTTCGATGGAATCGATGATGCTTGGATCGGAGTTGTTTTTAGCGGAAGAATCTTGTCGCTTGGCTAAAGGTCCGATGTGAAGATCACTGGTAACTGCTTCCTCCTCGGAATGGTTCTCCTTTTCTTCGGCGAATTCCAAGCTTTTAGATGGGCCAAACATTCTTGGCGGTGGTAATGGAGGTTGCCCCGAAACAGGACTAGGTAGAGTACCCTTGTATCCTCTTAAAGAGTTTCCATGTTGTTTCGGTAGGAACAAGGTTGTCGGTACAGGAAGCGAACGTCTTTTCTCAATGTCTGGTAGGACCTTGGGGTAATTTCGTCGTTTTATCGTTCGAAGAGCTTCCTCTGGACTAACGGACTCCCTTTCGACCGTTGGTTCTCTACAAGTGACGTTGACGTCACTAGGCGTACTACCCCCACCAAAAGTTGTTAATTTCGTCGATTTCACGTAGATTTCCTCAAATGGAATAGTTTGATCCTCGGCATTCTTCGAAGCCTCGATCTCTATGGTCTCGTCGCTCCTTTCAAGATTCGCCCGCGGAATTCGAGCTTTCAAATTTGGATTGATCTTCGCGTAGAGACTACTTACACTCCCAGAATCGGATTCATAGATTCGCGGAGTCGAGAAATTCGGTTTCATGGTTCTCAAGACGTTCTCCATTGGTAGTGGATCGCTTCTAGAATGATGATGCTCTATTACAACGACTTGAGGTGTCATCTGGAATTGGCTGCCGGAATCCGATAGAGGATAGTCGAAGGTTTGTTCGATCTTCTCGAGGAACGTCTCCTCCTTCTTCGACAACTCAATTGGTACTTGATTCAAAATAGATTCGGTCCTCGTTGCCGGGGTGGCATCAATTCCTACCGATACCTTTGCTGCCTTTGACTTTTTACCTGGTCGTACTACGATCGTTGGACTTTCGTCGTATATCGGCTCTTCCTTTTTACCCTTCTTCAATGCTTCCTCTTCCAATCGCCACTTTTCTTCTTCTTCTTGTTTCGTTAATTTCGCCTGATGCTCTTTCGCCAAAGTTTCTCTTGTTTTTCGCAGAAACCTCGGTGAACACCTTTGAAAAATATTGAAATCAAAGAATTGTGAATATAGTCCTTTAGTATAATCATATTTATCATTTATAGAAAACTTAACTAACTATTTTATACAAGTTTAATAACAATTTTCACAACAATTTTCACGATCTTTACTGAATATCTGAATAAAGATCGTCATAACGAATACTTTGTAGTACGTTCAAAGATCTTTTTGTAGAATCTTATTATTCTCTTTCTCTATGACTTTTGCGATGGAACTTTCATGAGAATAATCTCTTTATTCCTTCAAATTTAACCAGAGAAAAAGTAAAAGATGTTGGAATTGTAGAAGATGGGTGAGAAACAAAAACGCTCTTAAAGGAAGCAATGCTACCTTCTGAATGCAGCTTTCCTTCTTTTAAAACATCACTTGAAGCGTACACTTTAGTCCAAACTAAAATAAGGAAGAGAAAGAGAAAGAGAAAGAGAAAGAGAAAGAGAAAGAGAGGATCATCTTCGTGCTCTAAATCTTCAAAAGTATGTATCTATACATAATACATATATACAATATCTCGTATAAACAAAATGAAAAGCCCGAGTTCTATTCATTGACGTGTAATGGAGAATCCGTACTTCTTCAGGCCGAGTAATAATCGTGGAAGGAAAACGAGCGGAAATGTACTTACCCTCGTTAAATAATTTTGAATGTACATACTTTTAGAAGATAATGAAAAACACGAGTTTGCCACCGCGAGACGTAATATATATATACGATGCTTTTAATAAATAAGACTTTAATTGGGATTGCCACTAAAGATAATTAAACGATGACCTAGCTTAGCTTAATTGAAACGTTAATATTGTAAAAATAAATTCAAATCCACGTTTTTTTTTTTTGCGATTAAAATTTGTCTCCTATTCGTTTTTCTCTTTCGAGGTAATATGGCAAAAACAGTTTTCGATATCGGAATTCTTGATAGCTCTCTTTGACAAAGTCGACGTACAAAAGGTGGAAAAGAGAATCGTGAGAAGCAACAATGTCGATTAACGAAAATGTCCGTCGAGATAAGTTCAATATTCATAGGCACGATTGAGTTTCATAGAATCGATCGAAAAAGACTCAAAAGAAAGATATTTCGATAGGAAGGTATAGAAAAAAAAAAAAAAAAGATAAAGAAGTTTGTTCAATTCGTCGTATTCTCTAGTGTATCGATCAAATGGGGAAAAAGCCCAATTTTACATCGCGAAAACGTATACAATAGCGTTCGAAACACAAAAGGGAATCTCTCTAACGATAAGTACGTCCACTAATTGGATGACCAATCCATTCGATGCTCAGAACGATTCAAACTAGAGCTTGTTGTAATGAACGAATATGCAAAATCGACTTACTTTTTATTTCTTATGAGAAGTACGGATTAAAAGATTACGATTTTATCCTTTATTTCTCCAAATGTAATTTTTACTAGCTTTAAAAATCTAACAAAATGAAAGAAAACAGTTAAGTATTTTTCTCACCTGTGTACAATTTCCTGTTGTATCCACTCTCGAACTTTAATATGGGTATCGATAGTAGAATTGGAATTTTCTCGCGAAAGTTTGGATCTTCTGCCAAAGTTGGAATTGTTGTCGTAAGCTTTGTCACTTTTAATCACCTCGTTCAAATCCGGCTTGCTATCACTTTTATAACCAAGATCGCCATAATGATTTTCTTGTTTCTCCGTCTTCGGTCTTTTGGATGTTTCATCTCTCTGACTGAGACGTCTCTTTAGAGGTTTTTCATTCTTTTTCGTAGCTTGACGTTTCCAGTATAAATATAAGAAAGCGGATAAATTGATTATCAGGAATACCACGCCGAAACCGATCATTATCGTTATAACCGAGGAACTTTTTAAAGAGCTTGACTCGGACGTGGTGCTTTCAAGATTTGGCTGATTCGTCGTCGCAAAAAGAGGTATCAGTGGTCTCTTCTCAAAATTACTTTCGGTTATACTCGATGGCGTCTTCATTGTCATCCTAACGAAAATCATTTAACTTTAGTAGGGACATGAAATCCTTCATACTTTCTATATCTCGTTAATAGGAAACAAATGATATGTATGTATAAGTAATTATTTATTTTGTCATTTATTTTAGAGAAAATTTCAACTTTACGATATTATATAATAAATATAAAAAAATTGTGGTTAAAATATAGAAAAATATTATCGTTAATCGCTGACCAGGCACCGTGAATGTCGTAATTCCTGTCGGAGCTGCCATTCGCGTATTTACCAATCCCATCAGCGAAGTCGAGTATAGGGGGTCGTGGACCCTTTGGTCGATTGAACATCGGAATGTCTTTGCTGGGATGCCTCAACATGTTGGGAAGATCCTCGTTCCAGAATTGCATCTCAGCAGAACGATAGTGAGAGCCAAGCTTTGGCGGTATAGCTACGACGAAAGAATTTCATATAGTGGTCAACAAAGACTCTCTGGCGACTCTGCGTGCACATATATAGGTACACACACACACACACACACACACACACACACACACACACACACATATATGTATTCTAACATGATATACTTACTTAAATTAAAGTAAGTTTGATTTCTTGAATTGTACTCCAACCAATCAAGCTCGTACTGTCCCCATTCCTTTAGTCCGTCAGTCAAGTACGGATATCTCTTGGCTGCGTTTGGGTTCCTATTTTACATACACCGTGCATAAAAATATTATACGTGCATATATATATATATATATATATATATATATATATGTGTAGAAATATTTTCAAATAGTTTATATTATTTACTCTTATTGAAATTATAAAACAATACGCATTTAATTGCACTAAAGTATCATTGTGTTAGTTGGAAACATCGTATATTATGGAAGAAACGCATAAATGCTACAAGTGTATTTATTGAGATTGTCTGGACATATGTAACAATCGACTTGGTGTTCGTTTGCAAACGTACCTACTAAACAGTTTTGTTTCACTTAATTGGATTGACCCAGTTGAAGATGATCCCACAAACATATCGCGATGCATATGCATCTACTCCGGATATGTATATGTATATATATATATATATA